CTTATTTCTCTAGTTTGTATAAATCTAGAGCAAGGATTAACCCAGAGATGGCAACACACAGCAATGTGTAACAGATGAGAGAAGAAAGGCTTCCCTTACCCTAGACCTGTATATTATTTCAGAGCTATGAAGCTGGGGAAAGAAAGGTGTTTCGATCGGGGACTGATTAGAGCTATTTTTAACAATGGTGTATTATAACCTCCAAGACTTTTGGATAAACTGCTTCTTAAGCCTTCTTAACAATGAAAACAGTGAACAGACATGCCATTCATTTACATTATATACAGGCTTTGTATACTCTATAAACTTGACTGGTAAACAGAGTCACCCCAGGTTCTTAAGTCTGCCTACTCACACTTTCAGTGTTAATATAAAAGGCTGATAAAAATATTGAGCCTGAGTTTATCATCTCTATCTTCATCATCTGAATCTTAATATTTCACCAGCATCTGAATTTTTAATCTCACATTTCTAAGCTCATTCAAACCTATTTCGTTCAACCAAAAAACAATGCACTGACATCCAGTGAAATTTGTGAATTCATTTCAAAGTGTTACTAATTTCATATAAAGCCTTTATAGCCTTGTATGGCCAGGCTCCAGGCTCCGGTCATCTGAGCAGTCTTTATATACTGACCCAAGCTCTAATTTGAAATCTTTTTGACTTTATTGTAAACTCTTTTGAGGTTGTAGTACATCAGCCCCCTCAGTTTATCAGGTAAGCTGAATAAGTGGGTGTGTTTTAAATAACTACTGAGAACTAATTTCTGTGGTTTCATATGTTTCTCTAATCTTTCATCCAGTATTTTTGTGATATAACTCAAACCGAATGGATGCACAGAACTATGCCTTTATGAAAAAACACAATCAAAAGATTGTGTGTGCCTGTGTGTTTGCATGATGGATTGTGTATACTTATCTTTAATGTGTTTTTTTGTAATTGTGAAGAGCTCTGCAACAATGTGTTAAGAAATGCCGTACAACAACAACAAAATAAAATCATTATTCATAGTATAATAATGTTTGATTGGACCAGAATGTAACCAAAGAAACAGACTTTATGGAACTATTCAGCATGCCTTCATTTGAGGAGAAGTTGCACAGGATTTTAGAAATCAGAAACGCTGATGGCCAAAGGCTATTACTAGCTGGGGTGTGATCATTATGCTGAACTTCTGCTTTTAGTGAATGTTCTGTTAGACGTGACCAGGTTTTAGCAGACATGCAAAAACTGAACTACAGAATTTTACAAATGCACTTGTGGATGGTTCAAACATTAAGCACACAGTTTCACGCAAAACCAGCTTCCTAGCGATTTAAGAAGGCCAGTTGCTTAAAAACCACCTTCCATTCTTTAGTCACAAAGTTTCAGGTACACTAGGAATAAAGTAGTCCCCCCTCCCCCAAGCTTCCACAGTAAGCGCATGCATGATTAAAATAAGCTCGGTCTCTTGCCTTTCTCAGCACTTTCAGCACTTCGGCCGCTTGCTCCATCTTCTGCTCTCGGAGAAGCCTCTGGATTTCCCGGACCCAAGCCACCCGCCTGACATATGGGCTGTGGTTGGTTTTCCGCAGCATCCCTGGAAGCTTGTCGGACTTGAGCATCAGGGAGGTAAACAAGAAGTCTCCGCTCCTGCCGCCACTCCTCTCGCTCTCTCCAGGAATATCATTCCTCTGGCGTCTCCTTTTTGACAATTTGCTATCAAAATCGAGACTTCTCTGTCTGGTCAACTTAGAGCCCATCACTCCTGGGAGGATGTGTCACTGTTGGTGCGGAGAGCGAATTTTCAGCGTGCAGCCAAAACATCACACTTAACTTGAAATGTGAGGAGATGCATAAAATAGTGCCTCAAAGTTTGAAGGCTACTAACCAACCGCACAGCATCGCCACCGTAAATGTGCGGCTGGTTTCGCCGCCGTCTTCTCTCAGTCTGCATCTGTCCATGCACTGCCTAAGCACTCTGGCATCCCTCGCTTTACTCGGGGATGGTGTTTCTTCTCAGCCAATCAGATCGGTACTCGCTGCACAGCTTGAGAGTGCAGGAAAACACTCAGCTGAGTTTTCTTGCATAGCTATTAGAGTTGGCTAAAGCTGAACTACAATCTGAAACTGGGTGCGAATAAAGTGAATAAAAATAAAAGCATCCAGAAAATATGTTTAGTTTGAGTTTTTGTCAGTTTGGTGAAATTTGTTATCACAACATGATGCTTTGATGCGTCTGTTTATTGAGATTTGGGGCGTCTGTATGGGTCACCTGCCTTCAGTGGTATTTACACTCACTGGCCACTTTGTTAGGTACACATGTTCAACTTAAATATACAATCACGACCTGTTAATGTTCAAAGTGAGCATCAGAGTGGGCCAGAAATGTGACCTACGTGACTTGACTGAACGTGTCATGGCTGTTGGTGTCAGTCAGACTGTCATACTGGGATTTTCCCACTCAGTCATCAATAGGGTTTACAGAGTGTTAGGTATTTTAGTACCATGGGAGCATTTACTGGATATTGTTTTATAGTGACATTATGCAGGAAAACTCTGTCATTCAATAAGGCCCCTTTGTTTTAGTTATTTTTCTCTTTGACCCAAGAATTGATGTGTGAGAATCACAGGCTGGTACAAGGTTGAAATACCACAGAGATCACTCCCTCAGCTACATTAGTTTCTTAATCTTTTAGACGCCTGTTGAAGGCCAAATGGTTTGTTTCAGATTTCACTAATGTAAGAACTCTTTGTTTTGTGCCTTGAAAATATGTCGCTGAGATAATCACAATTGTAGCTGAACTGATAAACTACACAAAGGATGCTTCTTCACCCATGGGCAGGAAGACGCTGCCTTATCTTGGTCTGTACTGGTTTAAACTGATAATCTGCTGTCTCATGAGTTTTACCCTCTATATAAACTGTTATACTTGTGAATAAAGTTGAGTCAATTTGGGAAGACAACCTGAAGCAGTCTCTGTTTTCTTGTTCTCCCAAGCTGCTCCCGAGCTCGTACTAACACGCTGAATGGCATGCTTGAATATTACTTGAGAATATATTTGACTGTGTTACAGACTAAGGGACATTCTCTGCTGATAGGTGAAGGTACATTCTCTGCTGATAGACGTCCACGCCTCGGAGGAAGCCGATCCACGGAGTAGGCCCTGGAAACCGTTTCCTTCACAGAGAATGGTCTGAAAAACAATATATCCAGTGATCAGCCGTTTTGTGGGTGAAAATGCCTTGCTGATGTCAGAGGTCAGAGGAAAATTGTCACACTGCTTTGAGCTGATAGGAAAGCAACAGTCGGTCAAATACATACTCATTATGACAAAGGTACGCAGAAGTGCATCTCTAAATGCACACTGGATCTTGTAGCAGATGAGCTAAAACAGCAGAAGACCACACTGATCAGCACTTCTATAAGCTAAAAACAGTAAAATAAATGTCATAATCTGCACAGGTTCACCAAAATTGGACAACAGGAGATTGGAAAAATCCTTTTTCACTGACATGTAGTTTGAACAGCTGTGTTTGAATGTCAGGGAACAATGTCAGGGAACGTCAGCTCCTTAGATTACCATGACCTGGATGACTGAGAACCTACATACATGTTTTCTTTCCTTGTATGGAAACCTAGTATAACCCCTGTCAAGCATCTAATTTAGAGGGGTTGTCCCCCCTTCATCTTGCATTTAATTCTGCCTTGACACCATCATTATGGCCTATGGCAGCAGGTAACAGCCACTTTCTCTAAACACAAGATTAACAACAACACAGAAATTAGTTTATTAATCTAGGCCTTTTTTCTAAAACTGAAGTGGATAATGAGAAAGCTTATAATTTCTGACTTACTGTAGCAGTACTGAAGAGTCATACTAATCTTATACAGATCCTTGAAGAGAGACGCAAGTGGACTTTTAGAACGAAATCGAACTCTTTGTTTACTGTGGATCTCACCTTTCATCTGCCCTTGTGTCTCCAAACTGATGCAGAGCCTTTGGGATGCTGTGCTGCAGGATGTGTCGGCGCTCACAGGCGGAGGCCTACTCCAGGAGCAGCAGGTGTACGGAAAAAAATCTTTAATGATCTGCAGCTCCATCTCCTGGATTCCTCATTCTCTCTGTTCTGCTTGAGGGACACCACAGTCACCGTGTGGTTTATGAGACGTGGGCTAACATTTAAATTCAAGGAGAATCATTAGCGTGCTGCGAGAACACCTGTGGCTCACTTTGCTCACTGCTCTTTATGGCGGTGGAGTGAGGCATTCCTTTACCTTCCCAGCCACACTCATGCTTCTTAGCTGACGTGTCTCAGTGGTTCAACATACCTGCATGCAACATAGGAACTGATTTACCAACCTGTGTTGCACCACCACCACATAGATGGTTTGGGGTCAGGCTTTGCCATGAGCTCCTTATATGCTTTTGTATGCCAGACTGTCATAAAATGGTGTGTGAGGCAAGACAGAAAAGGACCCAGATGTAAGACTCTCAGGCAGAACTAAACTCTACAATAATTTAAAAATCCCCAAAAAAGAATGTAAAAAAAAAAATCCCCAAACCTCCGACAAACTCAAAACTGACCATGACACAGACATAGCTGCCTTTAGATAAAAATTACACACTATATGAATGAAGACTCCATATCTAGTCTTCATCCTCACAGGGCTGGGTAATAACTAATAAAATGTCATCTAAGTTACACAATCAGAAAAAATAATGACATTTAGATTGACAAGAACTGCTTGATTAATCCCTGATTACGTGGTTAGATTCAGATTGATTCTGATTATGTTCCACTGTATATTGAAATTACTCCTTGAACTTTAATCATGCTAATAAAACCCATGCAGGCCACAGGTTGAACAATGCAAAGTCCATAACAGAAACTCCACAACCAGTCTGGTGGAACCAAACTAGAAAACTTGGAGTGCAATTTGTATTTTAGAGTAATCTGACTCACCCACAGTTCTGCAATAACATCTTTTATTAAAGACGCCATTAAACCAAACTTTAAAAAAAATCTGTCTGGCGGATGGCTGTCAGTTGGGTGGAGCCTGAGGAGAAATCTACAGCTTCATTGTTCTTGTGAAAAGGAAAGAACAATATCCCATCTCTTCTGTGTTTTGTTGCATTATGAAGGCACCATTTTCCTGCTGTTCTCTTTCGTCTGACATGTCACAGCAGGAGCAAAGTGATGGGGACAAATTAGTAAAGAAGAAGAAGACTATAATTGTTTTGTTTGGCAATTCAAAGGTCAAAGGTCTGTGTTCCTTAAATGCCTAAATTGGATTTTTGAGTGCTTTGATAGCTGCGGCTCCACAGATTCAAGATTCGTTATTCGTCACATGCATAGTGATACAAGTACAACACACAGTCAAATGTGTCCTGAACTGCTCCTTTGACTGTGCAAGACATTATATTAAAAACAAGTACATTTAAATTTAAATTAAATCTGGAAATTTTAAATTTAAATCTGAAAAAAGTACAATGTGCGAACTTAATGTTAAAGTGCTTTGTGCCATATTAGCACAACAATGTATTGACAGAGCAATGAAAGCAGAGAAAACAAAGTGACCAGAGTAATGTAAGCAGAGTATTTTAACAGGATAATTAAACAGAGTAACCAGAGTAATATAAATAGTAGTGAAGCAGTATGATCAGTGAATCAGTGTGTGATGTAATAATAAATCAGATATGATATGAAACATGACAGTAAAAGTTCTGGGACGTGACAAGAATATGATATAATGTCCTGTTTCCGTCACTTTGGGTGATGTTATGAGGGAAGTGGGAGTGGGAGCTCCTCTTGAGTCTCTCTGTTTTTGCCCTGATAGTGTGGAAACTTCTGCCTGATTGCAGAAGTCGAAATAGTTCGTCACTGGGATGGGACGGGACCTGCACCTTGTCCCATGTGCACTGGCCACATGGGACAAGGGATCCAGAATTTAAAACACACATAGGGAAAATACAGCTAAATGACCAGAGCCATCCTGCAAACCATCTCAATCTGGCCTCTGATATCCTTAAAAACAAACCCCAGCATTAGGATGGAATGAAACATTATTTTAGTTGAGGTGAACAACTCTACATAATAACAAAACCACCTACAGGGAGAAGGTCAGGCCTCTCACAGGTTATTGCTATCACAATCATTTGGATTTAAACACTACAAAAACCAAGGAAATGATTGTGGACTTCAAGAAGTAGAGCAGGTAGATAGTTTTAGTTACCTTGGTGTTCACATTTAGGTTGACCTCATTTGAACCACGGATCTCCTGTCAGGTGGGGAAGGCCCAGCTGAGGCGTTTGCTTCCTGAGGAAGCTAAGACACGTTCACCTCCCTTGCTACCTGCTGAGCAGCTTCTATCATTCAACAGCAGAGAGCCTTCGGACCCTCTGCTGCGTGGTGTGGTTCGCCAGCTGCATAGCTGGTGAGGGCAGGTGGTGGTCAGCGCGACACCCTGACTCCAGTGGAAAGCCAGGTGTATAATAATGGATCACACCCACCCGGACGTCACTGATTCTTTGCCCTGCTCTCTGGGGAAAGATTCAGATTAATCAAATTCAGCAGTTTAAACGAATCAGCCTCTTATCAGTAAAAAGCACATTCTGTTTGATTCTATTCTATAATAGGTTGGAGCTGCTACATCACTCATTTCCACCTGTGTGTGTTTTCTGTGATGAGCTACACTGAAAGCTTACACAGAATTTAACCCAGTGAAGCCCGAACCATTAAATAATTACCAGAAAATTCAATTAAAAAAGCAAAAAACAAAAAACGGGAGTGCTTATTTAAGAAATCCACACAAATATACTAAATAGACATCCGAAATATAAATACATATATAAAAAATATATCAATTTGCATATATGAGTTTGTCATTTTATCATAAATTAAAAATCCTATCTTTTTAGCTACACCTGGCAATCATGCAGTTTATTGCTCACATAAAAACTGCAAAAACCCATGTATGTGGGTAGTTTTTCTAACAAAAAATCCTTGGTTTTTAAACAAGGACGTATTTGAATGTAAAATCCATAGTTTAGCATAATTCAACACCAGGTGCACCATATTTTAATTCAGTTATTAGAAGTGTCTTTGCTAAAGTAAAGATGTTCCTGGATTCATTCAAGTTTTGAGGTTCAAATCAGTCAAAAATAAGAATAGAATAGAATAGAATAGAATAATCCTTTAATTGTCCCACAAAGGGAAATTTGGTTGTAACAGCAGCCAAAAACACACATATACAAACAAACAGTACACAGGACACAGAACAGAAACATACACAATTTTTCTTACATAAGAAGGTAATCCATCGTGTCCCTGCTGCTTTCGGCCTGAATGCTTACTTAACTGACCTTCCTCAGTCAGCTTTGCACTCGTTCACATGGTTCTCCTGCAGTTTGTTCAGAGAGTTTGTTTCCTCGCCTCATGGCAGATCTTCTCCCTCGCAGCCGAGAAAGCCTTCACTTTTCCGATGAGAAGGCACTTTATTTAAAAACCTAAATATTAGGTTTTGTGTGAAGTCATAGAAAGAAAAAAAACTCAATGACATTCCTGCAGGCGCTGCGTTACTTAAGAGAAGGAAACAGGTCCTGTGTTAACTATAAAACGTTTGGCATTTATTTAAAGTGAACCATCAGCAAACTGAGGCTACTGCTGGTTAATCTTTTTCACAGATAAAGTATTACCACAGATAAAGAGCCTTTCATCTGGCGATTATTTCTTACTCTCAGCTCCAGGGTTGTGCAGTTGTCTGTGGATATTAGAAAGTTGCTTGAATACAGAAAACTAATTATTTGAAAGCAGCTGTCTAAGGTTTTTTTTTTTCTTTCATTTTCTATACTTTCGTCTGCCTGCATCTTTCACCCCAATCAAAAACACAAGTATGGTGTTTTATGGTGGGATGGTTTAAAGTTTAACTACTCTGTGACAATCACACATCGAGACCTTGAGTGAGCCTTTTACCGTTCAACTCCTGCAGACCGTGGCACAGCGTGCAGCCTGCTGCTGAGACCCCGAGAGGAACTGAAGTAAGAGAGGTCATTGATTCATATCTGTGAAAGCAAAATGTTCAATTTAAATTGAAGAAAGGGGCCGTTTTCAGTTTATTGAAGTTATTTTGTGTGTGAGGTGTGAAAACAGACGACAGCTTTGTATAACTAGTCAGTTTATACTGATGTGCACTAATATTAAATGTGCTGCGCAGCTATTAATTTGCTTTCCCGTCACATTCTCTGGTTTTATTCGTGTAGTGAAGCTTTGCAGGCTACAATTTCCAAGACGTTTTTTCAGGGAAGTATTAGAAATGGATTCTCTTAGGGCTCTTACTGTGGTTATGTTAATATTACACAACGTTGGAAATCTTGTGCCTCAGACTTATCAAATCTACAAATCTTTTCCTCAAACTGGCATTGCTGACCTGGATCAAATGGGAATACATGATGAGCGTAGCTGTATAATGATGACTAAATTTCTAAATTATTTACCCAAGCCACTGGACATGATATATATTTTTAGTTTTCTCTCTGCTGAATTAATTTCATCTACAACCTCTTTATGTAGCTGGTACAGGTGCGAGCAGTCGTGTTTGGTTTCACATTGCACAAAGTATTTAAACATGTATTGTATGTCTGTCAGAGGATGTATAATCTCAGTGTTTTGCATGTTCCTGCTGCTTTGTTTTAGCTCAACATTGCAACTTTTAAAATACAAGCCAAGTCTTCTGAGGTATTAAAGAAATTATTTGTTGTGTTTGAGGTATAAAAATGAAAAAGAAGACAATAATTGTGGCACTGACAATACTGCTGCTGGCAGCAGCTGCTACTTTTGTGGGCGTCTACTTTGGTGTGGGGAGAAGGGAGACAAAAAGTGAGAGGGGGTACTCTAAGGCAGCTGTGGCAGCAGACGCTGGACCATGTTCAGAGATCGGCAGGTAAGATCTGTCCACAAGATACTTCGGAGGATCTTAACTGTAAAACTTCCAGCACCTTCCCTTCCCACTTTGTCTCCTTTTTATTTCAAACCTCAGGGACATGCTGAAGAGAGGGGGCTCTGCAGTAGATGCTGCTATAGCTGCTTTTTTGTGTGTTGGACTGATGAATGCTCATAGTATGGGTATCGGAGGAGGACTTTTCTTCACCATCTATAATGCAAAGACTGGTACACCTGCCGTCTTAAATGCATTTTACTTCAAATACTCTGTTCTTATACTTTCCCACTAACGCAACAAACCCATAAAGCTTCCACTTCATTGGGCCCCTAAATGCTTTTCCTGACCTGCACAGGGAGAGTTGAGACCATTGATGCCAGGGAGACGGCACCACGCAACGCAACAGAAAACATGTTTGGGAACAGTACAGATCTATCCCAGAAAGGTAATGTTTAACCAGCACTATCTGACATGGCAACAAACTGAGGGAAGCTGATGACTTTGTGATTGTGATGGAGAAAAGGGTGATCAGTGTCAGAGAGTGTAATTTCTTAAAGATTTGCTTGTGAAATAAATAATTAAACAATCATTTAGATTAAAAATTATTTTAAAAAACCTCTAAAGAACTTCAGTGCACCAAAATAAAATCTTTAAGACTTCCTTGTGCCTGATCCTCATTGTTATTAGGAGGGTTGGCGATTGCTGTGCCAGGGGAGATTCGAGGTTACCAGATGGCACACCAGCGACATGGAAAACTGCCTTGGAAAGACTTGTTTATGCCAAGCATTGAACTTGCAGAGAAAGGATTTCCTTTGGGAAAGGCACTTGCCTCAGCTTTGTCTAGTAATAAGCAAACCATCATGCAGGACCCAACCTTGTGGTGAGAAGAAGGGAACTATCCCTATAAAAACTGTGACATTATTTAGACAGTGACTAAATCCATTGTAAATCATCTTCTCTTCTTTCAGTCAAGTTTTTTGCGGGGAGAAAAGCGACGTCCTAAAAGAAAATGAAACCGTTAAATTTACCAAGCTCGCGGAAACCTATAGAAAAATAGCCGAAGAGGGTCCTGATGCTTTTTACAAGGGAGAATTGGCTCAGAAGCTTGTGGCAGATATCCAGGCAGCAGGTACTATTTTTATTTTACAAAGTATAGTTTTTAACACTAATAAGCAGACATTTTAATTGAACGGGAAAACAGATGAGTTGGAGTCACATATATAGAAATTCACCAGCACTTAACATCAGGACTGAACTGATTTGAGTCTGGCAGCAAACGTTCAGTTCTCCTGTGCTGATAGTCGCAGCTATCTTCCCAGTTTTGAGATTTACAGTCAAAGGGTTAGACTTATGAGAACAGCAGTTTCTGCAATTAAAATCATGTTTCTGTACCTAGAAAACCCCATATACGCAGTTTCCATAAAAAGTCTTTATATTTAGTCTTTAAATAGCTACATACACCTCTATGCACATCTAATTTTCACGATAAAGAGGATTTGTGCAACGCAGCAGTTCTGTCCAAGTGTGCGTTCACAGTGTTTGTCAATCTGTTTAGGCGGCATCATCACAATGGAGGATCTGCAGGATTATACGCCTGTCTTGGATGAGAACCCTCTAAGGATGAACGTGGGGGAGTACACCATGGTTGTTCCCAATGCCCCCGCTAGCGGCCCTGTGCTCTCGCTGATATTAAACATCTTGAATGGTAAGCCTTGATGCTTTGTCCAAAAAAACATCCCGAGTGGGAGAGAATAAGCTTTTATGTGAGCTGCCTTCACACTACCAGTCAGTCTTTCAGAAAAGACTCAACAAGCTGATCTACTGTGCACTAAATCTCTTCAGTCTCACTTCAATAAAAAGCACCTTTGACTTATTGCTACCTAAGAGCAGCTGGAATGATGGGATAAAGCACAGATCTACCTTTGGGATGATTTTCAGTGAACTATCATATAGATATGGGATAACTATGCCAAAATTAAATTAGTGCTCCAGGTTGAAAGTGTGGGGCCCATTTGGATTAAAAGAGCTTTAATTTTATTGAAGTAGTGAAGATCCAAAGATAATTGTCTGTTTTACATCTGTGATGCTATTTCCATGCTCCACTTTGTGCAGCATGGACTGTTGGCAATGTGATATATAAATAAAGTTGACCTTGACCTTGTTGGTTGGGGAATGCTATACTATCTAAAATATTTGCCTGGGAGGACACTGTCTCCCTGCTTCAGTAACTTTTTAGGTCAGAGACAGTCTCTTCTTCTAACGATTAGATCCCAAATCTTCCTTTAAAGATATTAATCTTTCCTTTCCTTTCCTTTCCTTTCCTTTCCTTTCCTTTCCTTTCCTTTCCTTTCCTTTCCTTTCCTTTCCTTTCCTCACTATTTCCGCCCTGCCTCCCACACACTCACATTAATCTCACTATTTCATCTCTAATTGGACAGAGTTGAATGGTGGAGGCTTCACACACACACACACACACACACACACACACACACACACACACACACACACACACACACACACACACACACACACACACACACACACACACACACACACATTTCACTGTCCAAAAACTTCCATCCGGCTGATTTACTGTGACTCCTGCCGCTGTCAGCTGAAACCCATCAGACCCAGACTCTGGCTCTCTCAGCCATCTCCCTGTTTCCTCATGTGGCTGTCAGCTCTGGTCTGATTGCAGCTCCCTTTTAGACTAAATGAAAAGCACAGGAACAGCCTGCATTTTGTGTCTCATTTCCTACCTGAACAACCATTTGTGGGTAAGGCTGTGCTTTAAATGAAATGGTACTTATTGTTGTATTTTCTGCAGGCTACAACTTCACCTCAGATAGCGTGGCAAGCACTGAGAAAAAGATCCTAACCTACCACCGCATGGTGGAGGCCTATCGTTTCGCTTACGCAAAGAGAACCATGCTCGGAGATTGGAAGTTTCTCAACATCACAGGTGTAAGGTTATAGATTATACAATTATTAAAGGAGTTTTTGACATCACTTCTATAATGAAACAAATCAAACAAATTTTAAAAAAACAATTGAAATTAATCCAAATTTGATGTTAGTCCTCCATGAGAGTCATTGTTCGACACTGTTTGAAAAGAGAAAAACAAAATTACCCTGCATATTCTGATTAGGCTAGAATCTTTAAAACCTGAGGACAGAATAATAGGAAACCTTTTTAGGTTTTGCATGTGTATAATTATAATATTTCTCCCCCAAAGCTCATCCAGAATATGACTTCACAATTGTATGCCGATGCCCTCCGTGAAAAGATTACCGATGAAACCACACATCACATGAACTACTACGAGCCAGAGTTTTATCTGCCTGAAAACTACGGGACCTCGCACCTCTCGGTAGTAGCTGAAGATGGAAGTGCTGTGGCTGCCACCAGCACTATCAACATATAGTACGACTTCCTAACTGACACTTCATGAAGTTAATCACTCATGTGTGTACAACTTATGTGATTTCTTACTGGTTATTGGGTTTGTTTTTTGCAGTTTGGGCTCCAAAGTTATGTCAGCATCAACAGGGATCATTCTCAACAATGAGATGGACGACTTCAGCTCGCCTGATATCACAAACAGCTTCGGTGTGCCTCCTTCACCGAACAACTTCATCAGGCCAGGTAAGGTTATGGCCACCACGCTCGTACAGACTGAGAACACACATAAGAGGGCCTTAAAACCAGCGACTCTGCAAGACAGATGAGCTTTTTAATGACAGAGTGATTAAAAGTCATGCAGATGTCAGCCTGGTTATTGACGGTTACTGAATAATATCTTGTGTGCATGCACATGAATCTGCTCTGACTCAGACATTCAGAAAGTAATTATTATCAACATATCATTTTAAAAAGGGAAACGGCCAATGTCTTCAATGTGTCCAACAATCCTTTTTGACAAAAGCAACAAAGTGAAGATGGTGGTCGGAGGTTCAGGAGGAACAAAAATCACCACCTCTGTTGCTCAGGTAAAATGCGTACCGATACCTATGTAAAACACTCATTTCTACTCGTTAAATGTAGAAACTAATTAATAACTTGGTTTCTATTTAATACTTATTAGGTGATTCTAAACACCCTGTTCTTCAACTATGATCTGAAAGAAGCTGTGTTAGATCCAAGGGTCCACAACCAGCTGAGTCCTAACATCACTGTAGCGGAGCCTGGCTTTGACAAAGTGAGTGTCACAAGCAGTAAACAACAACTGGGCGGTGGTGTGGTGTGCAGGGAAACTATGTTTTATTCACAACCCTAAGAAACACTGTATAAACCAAAGTCATGACTAGAACTGGGAACACTGTTTCATCTTTAGCTTCATGGGTAAAAACAGCGTAACAATAAGGGAGGAAATGGTTGTACTAGGGTTATGCTAATGGTCTAATTTGTGGCATTTCACCTCTGTTCACAAAATTGAACAAGACACCAGACCAGGACTCTCTGAGTGTTCATAACATGTGTGTTAATTCATGGTGAGAAGTTTAGAGGCTAGGCTGGAGCAGACTAGAACAATTATAAAAGGCTGGAACAAAGCTGATATTTACTGAGTTTATAATCTGGGGATGTGGTGGAGCTGAAAACTGGACTGCAAGCAGAAACAATTACAGATGATTTCATGATTCTAGAGCCATACTTCTGTAATCAGGTTACACAGAGAGGAGAAGAAGGGAGAGAGAAAGAGAAAACTGAAAACAAGAACAGTTTTAGGTGATATATTTGTACATCACAAATACAATGCTTGACAAATTTATGTTTTTCTGGTGTAAATTTACTACCACAGCTACTCTGAATTAGCAGTATTGGTAATTACAAAATTTCTCTGTTTCTGTTACAGTTAATCCACCAATCATAACGATATTTTAATGCAAAAATATAAGTATTGCTGTTCTGAATTTTCTAATTCAGTTTGACTAAAAAGCAAAAAAAAAAAAAAAAAAAAAAAATGTAGCACACTTTTTTTTTTTATTGGCACCAGTTTACAATTATGAATTTCCATACCTGAAAAGAAAAAAATGTTTCAGTAATAGAGTTTTATGCTTGGTTCATTTCAAACTTCCACCCCCTTTAAATTCTGCATCTGTTTTTTTCTAACAGCAGACACTGACTTCCTGGTCCAAAGATCGTTCATGTTTTATATTCTTATTCTTACATAGTTAACTTGGTTGCACCATTACATGTGGGGTGATTGCTGACCAGCACTCCAGTTCTCTTATTAAAAGTGCTCTTTACAAGTACAGTTTACAAGTACTGTGCAATGCAAAAAGTATTAAAATAATCCTCTCTACTCTCATGCAAAAACAGCAGTGTTAATGGACAAACACTGAACAGACAACCCCTCCCCACATGTTTACATGGCACGCCTAGTCAGTCATGTTTTTGTGCTTAGAGTCTGTCTTCACTCATGCTTTGGTTTCCAGGATGTCCTGGATGGTTTGGCAAGGAAGAACCATGAGACAAAACTACTCACATCGACGGGAGCCGTGGTGCAGGCAGTACTGTGTCATGATGACAAGGTGTATGCTCAGTCCGATCCACGCAAGGGGGGGTATGCAGCAGGATACTGAAGTTATAAACACACCTATGATTATGGAGAGATACTGTAGTTTTGTGAATCTTGACACCAGTGGGACAACCTCAAAGATTAGAAAGTTGATAAAGATTCAGCCAACATGGGCGTTTGTCTTGGGCACCAGTTGTTTTGTACTGATTGTACAAAACAACTAGTACCAGCTGAACAAGCCTTTAACCATTACAAGCTATACTTTAACACTGAGTGCCTTGGCTGAACCTTCTTAACTTCACATCATTCTAATGATCACATCAATCTAGTGAATAAAATCTTTTAAAAAAGATATCTTTTGGTATAACAGTAAAAACAAACAAAACTGTTCAGACACTGAGCGCCTATGATTCAATCTATTTGTGAAGCACAGATTAGTAGATGTGTAAAGCAGTTTCCTGCGATTGTTTTGACACATGGCATCCACAAAACTGAGATCTGCTACTGTCATAAGAAACTGCAACACCTCGGGATCAAACATTTTCAAACACTGCACATAACAACATCCAGGAATCCCAAGTTCATCGGCTTTTAATGACCTCATAAAAACATTACAGCTGTTGCCGTCCATCTTCACCTTTCATTCAGCTAAAGTTACATAATAAGTTAAATACATAACAGTGTTAGATTAGATATATAGAAATAAATAGATTTGCTATGAGTGACTGGATCACATGTAATAGAACCAATGTTTCAAAACAAAGCTGGGACTTGTTCTCTGGACCTACCATATATTTATTGAAAAATAAATAAATTGCAACTTTTGAAGCGCAGAGCTGTGTAGTTTGGCTATTTCCATCTTGTTCTCTCTTTTAATTTTTTTTATATCACTACTTGGATCATTAACTATGTTTACAACGTTAAACCATGACTCCATCTTGGTGTTTTGACACCAGATCTAATAAGTGAAGGATGGAACTGACAAAGACTGTGCACTCTTGTCACTCAACAACTCGTTGCACAACATTCAGCCCAGTAGCTTACCCTGTTATATAGTTTATCAGACTAGAGCTGGGACCATAATTTACCAAATGAACATAATCCTGTATTGAATTTAGGTTGTGAATCTAGCGACTGACACCATCAAGTGTTTTCTGAGGTCATAAATCAAGTGCAGGGCCAGGTCAAGGTGTTATGGGGCCCTAAGCAGAATTTTATTAGGTGCCTGAACACATCACCTACCCCCCACATGGCACCATTAATTATTAACCATTCTCCTCATTTAATTGTTAATTGTGCATCTAAGACAACCATTACCATGGTGTACTACCGTGCAGGAAAGCAGTAAAATAAACCAGCAGACAAAAGTTACACAAATAAAGTTAACAATTTTTATTGACTTTGTACAAAAGGGCAAAACAATTACAATTTAACATAAGCCTAAATATTTTTTATTACATAAAAAACAAGGGCAAAAAACAACCAAGTTTAATACAAACGTATGTAGGAAAACTTAATGTGATGCGTTCAAAATGAGGCAATGCAAGCCACAAACAAAATGAGACAACCTGTCAATACAGGATAGCCCATTAATATGTGACTAGCACTTCCTTAGTTCAGACAGCCATGGCAACGTTTCAGCCTAATCAGTAACAAGTCATATTTACAGTTTAACTTGTGTAGCAAGAGTCTAACTCTGACCATCTCAGACTAAATCTAAAACATAATTCATTAGTCAAATCAATGAGATTAATGGGAAACAATCCCGGCAGCTACAATATTTATCATATTAAAGTTGAATCTCCCACTTTCAAAAGGGATAAACAATATAGTCCAAGGCCAGGGATAGCTATGCCACAAATCAGCTACACCCCACAGGCTGATAACCTCAACAGGGATCAGCTGTTGTTCTCCCATCCTGTACAGAGTAGTCCAGCAACCACTCCAGGCTCAGCAAGACAATTTTCTGCATGTGAGTGCAATCAAATACACCTGTCATCAATGAACCCAACCCAATTGCAGCCATTGTGAAACACAAAACCACTCCCAAATTAGTGCTCATTTCCTTGCATCAAATATTGAGGTGCCTCGATGGTGCGAGTACCATTCATATAACGATGAATGTTATTCAGCAACATCAGACGTGATGACCAGATCTGTTTGTAAGGCTGTGAACAGACTAGTGAGCTAAAGATAAAGTTTCCAGCCATGATTTCTGTGGTTTCCACACAACGTAAACTAACCTCGTCATGCACTGAGTGAAATGAAGGCCACTTTCATGCCTCTATTTAACTAACATCACGGTCAGTGAGTGTTTATGATACCAGACTGTAATTACTCATGGAAACATCCTTTTTCTGCTACTTTTTTCCTTCCTCTGTTTTTCTCTTTTTCACTTTTCACCCCCAGAGGAATAAATCACTTTTGTCATGATCTACTTACAGACAGTTACAGTAAACATGACCCCAGCTGTGACACTGGCAGTGGAAATCTTTGCTTTTTTCTTCTTCCCAGAATTTCATCTCTGCTTATTGCAGATGATGTAGTTCAGCAGTTCACACGCACTGGAGCAGTTTGCGGCCAAGAGTGATGCGGCGGGAACAAGAATTAGCACCTCCAAGTCTGATGCCATGGTCCTCAGCCAGGGAAGGGTGGAGTGCTCACTCTGGGTCAGTGATGAGATGCTGCCACAAGTGAGGGGAGAGGGGAGCAAGTGATTGACAGACGGACTGGGGCGGCATCTGCAGTGATGCACGCACTGTACTGGTCCATCGTGGTAAAAAGAGAGAGGAGCATGTCGATTTACGTCCCTACCTTATAGTCACGAGCTCTGGACAGTGACTGAAAGAACGAGACTGCAGATAGAAGTGGTGTAAATGAGCTTTCTCTGAAGTGTGGCTGACATCTTTCTTAGTGATAGGCTGAAGAGTTTAGACATTTGAAAGGGGCTCAGAGTGGAGCTGCTGCGCCTCTGTGTCGACAGGGTAAATGATTAGTAATGGCAAATGACACCTTTGTACTCCAACTGACCACTTTACATGACTTGCCGACTCATACAAGCACTTCTTTCTATGCTTTATCTACATAAGTGCTTTCTATCTAACATTCAAACACACTCATATGCTGATGGATCCATCGGAGAGGAACTTGGGGCTAGCATCTTGCCCAAGGACATTCTGAGGTACTGTCTGAGTTGCGGCACCTATCCTTCAGGAGAATACTGCAAGTGCTACCTGTAGTGTATTGGTGAGCATACATGGATGCGAGTGTGCCATGACGTTAGCGGCAGCACACAACGTGACCAACGTGGCAGTTATACTGATGTCTTTAGGATGACTTATGAGGACACTGAACAAGTTCAAAGGGCCTATACTCCTGTAAGGTAACACATAGCTTCAAACATTTAAAAGACAAATTCATCTCTATCCTCTCTTCTCACAAAGGGACCAAAACTTGCCAACTTGTATAAGTGAAAACTGCTTTTGGAGCCAGCCTCAAGAGGCCGTTTGAAGTCCTTGCCTGTAACTGTAACTTGCTTGTACTTGTTTCTCTGCATGCAAACATATTGACTACCACTAGCTTACAGCTTCAGTACAGCGGAGGTGAGGTCTTTAACTTTCATTAAACTACAATGGGCACACAAAGCAGGCTAATATCCCCATTCTGACAGTTACAGTTACATCAGAAAAAATGTTTGGCCGCTGAAATATTCCCGCTCCTGGAACAAACCTCGGACGCAGTGCTATTTTTTCACAACGTTGCTCAAGGCTGGATAAAAGCCAGTGGTTTTATTTTACATAAATAAAGCCAAATGTCTCCTGCAGGGGGAAATAGGGGGAGAACTACCTGCCGAGAGGTATGATTTAATGTCTGCGTGTGCGTAGTTATTGAGTTATTGAGACTCATTCGCATTGCAAAATCCACGTTGATGCTCGAATTCTTTGATGTAAGCCCCAGAGAGAAGATCATTTTTCACAAAGATATCTTCCTACACATACAGGCTCTTACTGAACCTGACCTAATTTATGTTTTTTTTTGTTTTTACATATTTTAAAAGAAAAGAAGAAAAGAACAAAAATAGAAGAACTATAAAAAATGTGTAGATGACTGTACTGTGGCGAGTAAGACAGTGCTACGGTTTTTTGTTTCGTTTTTTCCACTCCAGATATTCCACGTACATTTTACGTTTTACCTGAACAGTTGGTCTTGATTGTTATATAATGTTATGATGTAATGACCTCTCGCCTGAGATTTGAGATGTGTATTTTTGACTTTTATTGCTCTCTGTTATCTGGTGTTTGGGCACTCTCTCACCTGTGAACCATTAACATCCATTGGCGGTTTTGCCAGTAGTGGCAGGAGCAGTTGTAGAGTTACAGTAATTGGGGGGAAAGTGCAATCCCACCATGTGTGCCAATATTACATTTAACATACCACAATTTTATTTGAATTCACAATTATTTTATTTTTATTATCCTGAGCTGCTACCTCCTGTGCTTACAGCTGCTCTGAGAAGAAGCTGCAAAAAATTAAAAATAAATAAAAAATCTAAAAATTTTCCTTCAGGGCCCAATTAAGCAAAGTCTCACTTCCACATATGATTAAATTCAAAGTTATGCAACTCAGACCAATTGACTAACCCTCTAGGCTAGGAAAGAAAAAAATCCCAATTCTCTGTGTATATCAGAGTCTACGTGTAGTTTTAATTTGACTCATTGCCTCGAATGGCATTGTGACAAATGCATATAATGACACAGAAACTGACATAATAAAAGCATCAAACTACTGTTAAGATAATTTGCCTCATCAAAGGACTTTGTGAGCGAAAGTGTGCTGAATCATCACAGGATTATTTAACCGCTCCGCTCTGAGAGAGAAAGACTATTTCTGCACCCTTTAAAGTGATGGCTCACTTTAAGTGGTTGTTATTTATACAAAGAGGGCAAGATCGTGGCACTAAAGTCGTGAAGTTGCAACTTATCCAGATTAACTCATTTGTCATACAACAAAAGACAGTGGTGCTTCACACGGAGTAAAATTTGCATGTTCTCATAACTCTCATCTAGAGCCTCAAAGGAGAACGGAGCAGAATCCACTTAAGAAATCATTACTAATTCATAAGTTTCTCTGCTGAAATGTATCTCATTACTGCTTTCTTTGTTCCACTGCTGCTCTGTATAAACGCACAAGGCAAAAGGGGAAAGCACCAAATAGAATTATTCCCATCATACTGTACTAACAACCAGGAATATGTGTTTAAAGAAAGAGTTTGTGGTTTAGAAGGATTTTTATTACAAACAATACAAAATATGTTCATAAAACATAAAAAACCAAAATATTCAAGGTGTGTTAAAATATATAAAGTACATTTTTGGGGGAGGCTTTTTTTTGGATTAGGTTATTTCACATAGAGTAACACATTTAAGGTCACAGTAAAAGTTCCTTGTTGAGGAAGCTGCCAGGATGTCACTTTAAAAAGGTTATATGGCTCATCTTGAGTTAATATTTCTTACAAAGAATTACATGTTTCAATAACTGATTTAGCAGACACACTCAGTGCACATTTCTCCAACAGTGCATGAAATCAAATACGAGCACCTTTGTGGCTGGAGTGATCATTTGTGTATCCGTTGGTCAGATATTAACATTTCAGTTTAGCTCCCTACTCTTGCTGAGCACACGTAGGCAAAACTAAAAGTAGCTGTGACGAGGCAGGCGGCCCGCGCGGTCGACCAAAAGCAGTTTTCAAACAGTCAGTGTGGCCGGCTGAATTTTGTGACATTGGTTTTTGACAAACCAATAAAAGTCATCGTCCTCTTTGACTACTGTCATCAAGGCTAGTGCCATAAAAACGAACAAGTGCGTATGTACTTAAGACGGAGCATTTCAAACATTCACAACACTTCAGAGACCGCTTTCCTAGCTGAACATTGTCCTGAACTTTCTGTAGCTGTGCATGCTCCCGGTACACACAGCGACTGTATTTTCTTATCTCATTGTTTTTATGGGAATTCTCAATGACTGCATAAAAAAAGAAACATACAGAAACTTGTCAACGCCCGCTGAAGGTAGAAAGGTTGACACATGGATGAAAGCAAAGTTCACTGGAAACGGTGTGTCACATATATTACATCATCTCAGGGCACTTTCCTGCAATAGCTCAATGGTGCTCGACTGGAAACAAACTCCACCTGTGTGTGCCTATTTTCTAATATCTACATAGATGTAGTTGATGAATAGAAATTTAAACACCCTTATATTTATATATTTAGTGCAGATTTCACCTCAACATAAATTGGGTTTCTATAGCCTGGAGAGTGATTGGATTTGAAGCAATTATAAATTGGAGTTATCCTCTAAGGTGAGTAGTTTCCTGATTGGTCCAGTTGGATGGAGCCACAGCACCTTTTGTTCACCTTTTATTTGTCAGTGTTTCCGCACATATGGTTACTTTTAATGCTGAAGGGTCAGTTAGTCTAAAGGGCAGAGATAAGTGGAAAGGTCACGCATCCTTGTGGTCAGTATCCAGCTGACATTCCCATCTTCCTGCTGTCAGACACAGCAGCAATGCAGTTGTTCTCCTTTTCCACAGCATTGACCACATTGAGAAAGTATTGCCAGTTCCCGGTTTTGTGTTTAAGCTGTTCCTTTAAGCCTTTTGACACAGACTGAGGGTACACAACACACACACAGACAAAACATTAATACTACTTATCCTTAAGAGATTACAGAAAAATTAAATCTGCCTTTGTAGGATTATGGACCGCTAATCTTCTTCAGAATCCATTATTACAGATGATTTTTTTCTGATAGACAGTCTAGTGAATTTGAATATCATTAATGGATAGCAAGGATAAAGGGAAGTACTTCACCTCATCAAAACCAGGTTCAAAATTTACGTCGTTCTTTGAGTCGATGAAGATTATGCGCTCAGTAATGGCATCTTTCAAGCTCATCCCCAGCCACTGGTGATTTATTATAGACTGCAAGGATAAAAGAACTGTGAGTAAACAAACAAAGAAGTATACAAACAAGGAAACAAATAGAGTTTTTAATTATTGAATTACCAAGGCCATTGCCGGCGTAATCAGGCTTCCTCCCGATCCACCAATTATAAGAAGACCTCCAGACTTTGACTCCAGTATCACTGGACTCATTGAGGATGGAGGTCGTTCGCCTACGTAAAAATAAAACATCAGATGGAAATCAGACTCGGTGATGAGATCGTGAAACGTCTGTAATTTAGTTGTCGTATATAACTTCACCTGCCCTCAGTGTGTCTGCTCTCCCGCAAAAGTCAGCCAGCTCATTGTTGAGGATGATGCCTGTACGTGGAGAGTAAATCATTCCTCCAAATCTACAGAACAAAGGGTACTCAGTCAGCTGAGGGGATGATGGATACACCCAACATTAGTATGTTTCCTATAACACAACTCTTCCTGCTCACACTTGGTTTATGGTGCTTGTGGCAGAGACGGCCAGGCCATCTTCATCCAGGACAGACACGTGTGTCGTCCCAATGTGATCTGAAGAAGGTGTGACGTTGTAGTAAGAGTTGTCATGGGTCATGTTTGAAGAAATCATCTTCCTGATGCGATCAATGAAGGTGGGATCAATCAAGTGCTCTGCACACTAAAAGGAGAGCATCATTAAACATTTCCAAGATATCCCAGATATTACTGGTTTGAGATGTAGAAACCCCATCCTAAAAGTTGGGATGCTTTATAAAATGTTTCGAAAGACACATTGAAAGTGTCATAAACCCACATTTTGTTCACAGCAGAACACATGTCAAATGTTTAAAGTGAGAAAATCTACTATTATTAAAAAAAGAAAGAGGTAATTTAGAAATTGATGTCAGCAACACGTCTCAAAAACGTTGAGAGAGGGCCGTGTTTACCACTTCTTCTTTTATCAACAGTCTGCAAACATCTGGAACTGAGGAGACCAGCTGCTGGGCTCCTCAGTTCATCTGTACCTTCTGTAGATGGATTGTTTTCATTTCCATCAATCAATGCAAAGTCCCTTCATTCTTAACATATTATAGATATCCATCTTGAGTTTTTTGAGCAGTGAATATAAATAATATAATAAAATATAAAATACATGAAACAATACATAATATATACCTAGACTTTAGAATTCAATTTCTTGCCCTTGTATTAAAAATGTCCCCAGTTCCAATAAGAAAAAAGATATTTCAGATCCCAACCTTGCCGTTATTAAACTTTGGATCACAAATGCTCTTCTTCTGTCCATTAGCAAATTTAACTGCCTCTATAAAATGATGGTACATCTCAATCTTCTTGTCACCAACCAGAGAGTTTGGCGTCAGCGAGAACCCTGCAGAAAAGACAGTGATAATGTTTTTAAGCTTTTGTGAGCTAAGAACTGTTTAACTGTTTCTTTAAATTGAAATTTCATCCAGCTGTTACAGCGGAAAAAGAAAATCACACAAAACACGACACCTTCCATGAGTTTGAGAATGAAGGCAAGCAGGGCGCCTCCAGCAGGGGGTGGAGGGATGTAGAGTTTAGCATCTCCCAAAGGAACAGTCCAAGCATCTTGGACCTGCACCCGGAATGACCTCAAATCCTCTATAGTCAAGGTCCCACCTGAGACAGACACACAGAACGTATATAACAAACTTTGCCCTAAATTAGATTAAATTTTTTTCATAACACTGAGTAAAAGTCATTTTTCCATTCCATTTAATTCCTTTTCAAACACAAACCCTCAGGCTGCTAATGCTGACATTGCACCAACCTGCAGCTGTTATGTCTTGGATTAAGTCATGCCCTATCTTGCCAGTGTAGAAATCCTCTGCTCCTTTCTCTGCAATGGTTTCCATGGTTTCTGCAAGTTTGGAAAACTTTACGATTTCGCCTGTGCTCAGAACAGTTTTGTTCTTGTGGCAAAAAATTTCACTGTAAAAAAGAAAAGAAAACACAAACTAAGCAAAAAGGAGAGCAGAGAAAAAGAGACAGAGAGCTGTCAAAACCAAAAACTGATGAAGGGTCAAAGCACTACACCCCGTGCATCCTAACAACATTGCACAGCTAAACCACTTCTGCAAAGAAGAATGGATCGAGATCGCCCTGTGTGGGATCTGCAGCTATTAGAAATCTTTGCTTTAGGACTAAGTAACTCTTTTTCTACTTCTTATTTATTACCTAATCCTACCAGGATTATAAATGTTCAGATATAAAGATGGAAATTTTAAAAAAATTACTTCTTAGTCCACTGAGATGAAGTGCTTGTTTAAACTTGTGACAAAAATGGAGACCATCTAATTTTTGGGCAGACAGAGAAGACGGTTTGTTAGACTCACTGCAGTATAAACTGAAGCCAGGTTGATTAGTGGCACGCTGCATTGATTGAATAGGAAATTAACACAGCGCAGTCACAGTTCAGGGAAATATTCTTCAGTGGAACTGATAGCTGACAGTTTATCAAGTCCCTTTTAGTTATTTTTCTTGTGCTCTTAGGTCTCAGAAAATTCAGAATATTAAACTAAATAAAAAAAACAACAATCCAAGCACAACAGAGGAGCCAGGAAGTTGAGGGAGATTCAGACAAGACCAGACAAAAACTCACTAAATACATAACACGGAATATGGGATTGAAACAAAATTACAGAAACCACACTTTAACTTTAAACAGGAAGTAAACTGAAGGACACAGCACAAAGCTGATAATTAAAAGAAAACAAAAACAAAACTGGATCATAAAGTCGGTGGCTCTGTTTGGAAGAACTGATTGCACTTTGGCATTAGAAGCAGCCATTTTCATTCTTGCACCCAAAATGTCCTTTTCACTGGTCTTGATTAGAAAAACATTTTCAGTTTAAAAGCTGATTAGACGAGGCATTTCTAACTCTGAAAAGAGAGCTCCAGAAAAATGGCTAATCACCATATTTGTTACCACATTAGATCTTGAATGCATTAGGAATGCAACATGCTGATCAAATGGCGCTGACGTGAATGCCCTGAAAGCACTGCTGAGGCAGCATATATCACTGAGACCCAAATCAAAAGAAACTCTGGATAAACAAGACTCGTCATTGACCCTTGAGCCGAGTGTGTGCCTCAACCACCCACACGCACAAAATTGTACTCAATCCATCAACCCTCTTACAGATTGAGACACTGACAAACACAAAGATAATCATTCCCTTTCAGCAAACACACCTTTTTAAATGACTGACTCAGCTAAAATCTACCCCGAGGGCAGTGAGTCGAAGCAGGTTTGCCTCTGATCATCTAAGCAGTGCTCCATAATTTTACCTATTAGTTTAAAAGCTTTCTGAGATTACCTTACAGTAGAATTGGGTCACTTGGTGTTTACTACAATTTTTTTTTTTATCTTCAATCTCACAGGAATCCAGATTTGCACCTGACAGTGATGCACTTTTTAAAGATCCAAGTGCAATAGGTTTTCTAATCACCACTTATTTTCCTCTGATTCCCTTCGCTATCGTAAACATTAAAAAACTCTGTTTGTGCACACACTTTTGGCCCGGCATCCAAAAAGGAAATGCAATCTTTCAGGTATTCCCCATGATACCTGAGTCCTGGCTGCGTCTCACAAACATTTTTTGGATGAAGGTTAATGCTACCTTTGTCTCTGAGCTGGTAAATCCTGGTCCTGAGTCACGTTAAGAAAAACAATGTGCACTCTTATGTCATTAAAAATAACAATGCTTCACTGAGAACAATGAGCGTGGTGCCTGGCCTAAACTATTACGCAATGTGTAAAGTTAAATTCTCTTTGAGATGTTACATAAAACTATCACAAAATTAGTATAACCAGGGATTTACAGGAGAGGCCTTCGCTCCAGGATTTCTGCAGTGACAGCTGCATGAAATAGGCTCCAGCTAGGATTACAAATGCTTTTAGTTCATTGGTGCCATCAAACATGTGATTTAAAACACAATTTTTTCTTTGCAAGCATTATTAATAAAAAAAAATATCTTAAGTCACAGAGGAGTAATTGAAAAGCTGTACCAGAGAGACGATGTTTGTATGTTTCTTTTCACAAAGGACACGATTTTTCCCAGATAGGGTGACAGAGGGATGCCCTCCCTAGCCAGTTTAATTGTTGGTTCAAAAAGCCTGGCCCAGGGCAGCTTCCCGTACTGTTCGTGAATTGCCTCATAGCCTCGCAGCTCTCCGGGAACGCCGACCCACTGGCTGCCTTCAATGTAAAAATGAGAAAAGTAGTGCAGGTAAATTAGACTAATGGTGGAAAACTGTTTGCAAAATATGACAAAATGTTAATTGATAAGGAAGATCTAACCTTACCAGCACAACTAGAGCACTAACAACTTAAGCTACAATCACTGTATAAACAATACATAGTGATACTAAGTACATAAGTGGATAAAAACGGCATCTTTTAAAATTAAATAAATGAATTTCTGTAAAGTGAGAAACCACAAGGACAAAATCTGTAACTGGATATTGATAAGTGCTGTAAATCTACCTACCTGTGGAAAAACTGAAGAAAGTGGGACACTCCTTTAACAGGTTCTGTCTGAATGACTGTGGGACAGTTTCTCTGAAGTTGTAGACTTTAATGTTGCCTTAAAATAGATGAGAAATCCAATTGGTTGGTCTAATCAATCACTGCTGTGGAGAAATACTATTTACGAAACCCGTATCAGTAGAGGACTTACCTTTCTTATCTCTTATAGTTATTATAGAGCCCCCTCCAATCCCCATGCTCTGAGGATTGACCACAGATGTGCACAGAAGAGCTGCAATGGCGCCATCTACTGCTGATCCACCCTGCTGAAGCATATTCCTGGAAGAGGGTTTAATTTTATTTATGGGAAATGTGTAAACACTCATTGCACACGCTCCGACTTACACGTGGCTTTAATTATTGAACCTGGTGTTTGAGTACTTGAAGATGCCACAGTACGGTGACGGCTGCCAGTGGGCATGTTCGAACCACATCCTGCTGTTTGAGGTTGACCTCAGGTGACATACCAGGAAGTCGCTGACCATAGTGGTGTTCTTTCTTTTCTTTCTCTTCTTTTTTTTATTTGACTCATAAGGTAACCTGGCTCTAAAAAAAGAAATGTAACTCACATTTCTCACTCGGATTATCTAAGTTAGCTGTGACATAAACAACTTAATCCTGACTGGACCGTATTTGAATAGCCCTGAATGGGCCCTTTCACCAGTAGCCTGGCGTGGGATCAAGTGTAGTCACTGAGCTACAAGAGGAAGCACTGTTGGGAATGTTTTGCTTCTGATGGTCAGTGAATAAGGTCTGACCGAATGAGTGATTATCTTACAAATCTGTGAGCATAAGTAACACAGAGCAGGCAACCAAAGGAGCTTTACAATGAAACATGAGTTGGGAAAAATTGGGGATGTTCACGGGGTGGGGGAGCTGAAAGAATTTTGGAGGTTTGAAAACTCAAACTGAAACTTGATAGCTCATCTGTCCGCAGTGAGTGTTGGTGCACACACAGACATATAAAGAGCTCTATTTGCTGCCCATCTACTGTAGAAGAACAAGGTCAGTATGATTAAACAACAAAAAGCTGATGTGTTTCAGGTTTCTTTGATTACTTGAAGTTGTGTCCTGTTGGCACAGTGCCCGATGGTTTTACCTGCCTGAACAAATTTAGTGTGTTGGCTTTGAAGTGGGAAATGAACCCTCTTTAAACTTTGGCAGAGAACAGACAGAGATATATCTATCTGCAGGAAGCAGGAAAGGGTATGCTCACATCTAGTCGGGTGGGATGGGGGGGACAATAAAATAATCTGCTGAGCTTTATTTGCAGTTACTGTGTTGATTGATTAATGGCTTGCTCACTGCAGAACAAATAACTCAACCACAGAGTGCATTAGAGAAACAGCTCAGACCTTCACTGCCCAGTCAGAAAAGCTAATATCAGTTACTGAGTTTTTCTTTTACAGTTACAAGCACAAGTACTGAGGTACAGTGTGCTGCATGCTTACTGATCTGCAGGTCTTATCTCTGTTCTTCACTGCCTATTAAATCTCTTAAACAGCTTATCACATTGCTCAGTTCAGCTTTTTTCTTTAGAGTTGGAAGGTCCAGTCTAATAGTTCTGTCAAACAGTATTGTGAATTGTTGCCATGCAGCACTGGGTAAGCGCTACAGGTCAGTTAATTTGTGAAGCACCCTGAGGGTAGAAAGTTGCAGTGGTATGCATTGTTTGAGCTTCTGACTGTGAGGCTGGAGTTGTTTTGCTGCTACTAGTGAGTAGTTTTGGTTTGGCGATAGAGGTGTTTTTCTTCTGTTTAACCATCTCCTCCAAGTTGTACAGTCTATTTTTTAAAATTTTTATTTATTTATTTATTTTCTTTACTGTTGGCTGACAGATTGCTGAGTGGGACAAGGTGCACACTGGCTCCTCATGGAGTGCCAGCTGGGTTCAGAAGGAAGCATGCACAGTCTTACTGAATATAACATGAACGAAAGCATGCTTAAAATGAAAATACTGTATCTAAGATCTATAAACACACACACACACACACACACACACACACACACACACACACACACACACACACACACACACACACACACACACACACACACTAAAATCATAATTAAAAACCTCCTTACTATTTCTAAAAAGAATTAGTATAAAAGACAAAATCCAGTCGAATTCAATACTTTCTTTTTCTTCCAGCTTTAGCTTTCCACTATAGAGAGGACTTTAATAGACAAAAACGTACCTGCCAATCTCCGAGCAAATCTGAGAGTCTGCGGCCACCGCCGCTTGCTTGAAGCTGCCGCTGGAACATCTTACGCCCAGAAACGAGGTGAAGCACAGGCACAAGAGCGTAACGATGCAAATAAAACCGATCAAAATAAAGCACCACAGCACCCAGGGCTTATATTTGGCCATTTTGACTTTCTGAGGGGAAAACCTTGCGCCGAAGGAACTTGTTCTTGCTGCCACTAAGTGTGCGCGAGGTCTGCCCAATGATCCAGACGTGGATTACCTCCCTCCCTGCCTCCACCAGCCTCTTTTAAGAAATGGCTAAACTGAAACTGAAGATAGGACCGGATGAGTAGTACAATGACTACAGCATGCCACTAAACCTTAATTGTCCTTCTTATATCATGTTAAAATCTCACGAGGGACTTAGCTGTGATTTCCAGGGTGATTTCCATTCGACTCATTGACGTCAATGTCGATAAATGATCTAAAGATGCGACGTTAAAAATAAATTTGTACCCTCTCACTCTCTAAAGCATCCCACCCTGACCCTCAGTGTGTGAAAAACTAGTTTCCTGCTGTCAGACATCCACCACACTGTCTGATGTGAACTCTGTGTCAGCGACCCAGCTGTGACACTGGGGTATTTAAAGAGAGATATCGCAGATGCTGAACTCATCTGCATTAAGACCACAGCAGGCTCCCACTTGTTATTTTAATTGCGCCATCGTAACTGACCTCTGGATGGTAAGACATTGTAAGACAAATTAAACAGCAACACAGAACAACTCCGTGCGTAAAACCTGTAATGGTTTTACGCAAGAGGAGTCTACAAGAAAAAGTGAACCGAGGGGCGCACAGACTGTGAGACAGGAAATAGGACACATAGATTAATAAGAAAAATAGATTAGTAAGAAAAACCCTGCACCAAAAAACACACAAAACCCCCCAAAACAAAACAAAAACCAACCAACCAACCAAACAAATAAACAAAACCACAACAACAACAAAACAAAACAAGGATGACTTTCAAGGAGTCCACAGCATTCAGATTAGTAAAACTCTAACACCTATTTATCAGATTACATGTTAGGTAAACAGTTTATTCATAGTTTACTTTCTCATGACGTCATTTCCTCCACCTTATCTATCAGTTCGTTTAGAGAAGGCTCATCATGAGAGACGTTACGAAAGCTCTCTCAGTTGTTTACAGAGTTTAAAAGACGTATAAACATTTTTTTTAAATAAAAAAATAATCACTGGGAATCTGTTCTTGTTTTCATTTTCATTGCTCAAACATTAGATAGTTTTCGATATTTTATTGTCTTTTTATTGATTTCATTTTATTATAGGTGTCTGCAATAGTTCTCATGTAAAGGTGGGAAGTAAGTACAAATACTTCATTACTCTGTAATGCTTTAGAATTTTCAGGTTTCTGTACTTACATATTTATTCTTCAAACAACCTTTTGCCCTGGCTCCCTACGTCTTTACACAAATATGTGGACTTTCGACTTTTCAAAATATATCTTTGTTTTATTATTGCATTAATATAGCACAAAGTTCAGTTACCTTTGTATAAAAATGGAGAGTAGAATTTTACTTCAAAGAGAGCTAGTTTTTAGTTACTTAGTTTGAGTATATTTCAGAGTCTGTACTTTTTCACTTTCACTTGAGAAAAGTGGAGTCAGTACTTCAAGATTTACTGGAGTACTTTTTTTAAACACAGGTGTTAGGTTTATATTGTTGATTGTCATCTGGTTAAGTATAAGAGCCCTTTGTTTAGGTGGACCGCGGCGCTCCTAGCACCAGCTTTGGGGAGTCGCCCCCCCCCCCCCCCCCCCCCCCCCCCCCCCCCCCCCACACACACACACACATACCTACACTATGCACAGACTGGTACTCTTTGAGATGCCATATGTTAATGAACTTATGCATATTCATGTAAACTCAATAAAGAGCAGTGTTACGAGGGAGCAGATCGACTGGGGTGAGCGACAGGAACATGCTTGTCACAGTTCTCTTCCTCGTGCACGAGTAATAGAAATAACTTTGATGACTTGCATCTTGCTTTTGCTGTTGTAGTAGGATTGTTTTGTTCCAGCGAAGGGTTGTGCTAGACGGACCCATCAACAGGTATCTGTATTTCTACTTAAGTAAAGAAAGTCTGTACTTTAACTTCAAATAAATACAATAAAAGTCAAAAACAAACCCAAAAAGAAAGGAAAAAACAAACAAACAAAAAGATCAATGCACAGAGCAAAACTGGTGGTCTGACAGTGTGTTGGAGTCCACTAAAAACACCTCCACCTGGTGACACTGGCATGGGCATGGTTGATTGATTTGAGCCTGAGGTCGAGGGCTGGAGCAGAGATAGAGAAAGACAGTCACACAGAGAGAGAGAAGGAATCCAGTCAGAAAGTAAGAGACAGAAAGTGGGAGGAGAGAAGACGGAGAGTTCTGAGTGCTGATGTCTGCAGCATGATTGCAGCCTTCTTCTTAATGGCCATCTTCCACTGACGTAAGATGGTCCAGATACAATAATCTTTTATTTGGTGAATGTGTTAAAGAGTTATACATTACTGAAGGAAGGGAGGCTCAAGGGTCGCTAGAGCAGACAGAACTACAAAAAGAAGAAGACAGGATTGATCTCCAGGTTGGGAAGCTCTGCTCTCACACCATCACACCTGTCTCCAACTCCTGCAAGCAGTCACAACAGCTACAGTGAGAGAGAAGTGAGCTCTGCAGTGAGAGCCAATCCAGTCTGGGAATCAGTGATTCATGGTGAGTCACCAGCAGGCTTGCTGACTTCAACACTAAAACCTTTAATTATGTATGTAAAATAATATGCACTATCCCCAAGCCTGTCCACATCAATTTCCAGTAAATGTCCACTTACAAGTTTTTCAAATTATTTGCAGAGGTAGGTGAAAAAACACATTTATACATTTCACAAGTGTCCAACACTAATACTGTCCTTGATTTCCACTTTTTACCAATAGATGTCTTTAAAACATTTAAACTGATATGTCAGGACAAATCCACATACACCATATTGCCAAAAATATTCACTCATCCATCCAAATGATTGAGTTCAGGTGTTCCAATCAATTCGACTGACGCAGGGGCGTGGAATGAAGTGCATAGGCATGCAGACTGCTTCTACAAATGGTTGAGAAAGAATGGGTCGCTCTCAGGAATTCCAGCGTAATCCCATGATAGGATGCCAGCCATGCAACAAGTCATGAAATTTCCTTTTTACTTAATATTTTTATATTAGTTTTTTGTGGTATTGTAACACAGTGGATGTGATTGGGAACAATAGCAACTGTGTGGGAGGGTATGGCATGTAAAATCACAGTCAGCAGGTGTTGAGGCACATAATATGCACAGGTCCAACTTTCTGCAGAGTCAATTGCTACAAACATCCAAACTTTATGTGGCCGTCAGATCAGCTCAAGAACAGTTTGTGGAGAGCTTCATGAAACAGGTTTCCATGGTGAGCAGCTGCATACAAGCCTTATGTAATGCAAAGTGTTGGATGCAATGGTGTAAACCATCCTACCACTGGACTCTAGAGAAGTTGAGATGTGTTCTCTGCAGCAATGAATCAAGCTTCTCTGTCCTGCAATCAAATGGATGAGCCTGGCAGTTGCTGGGTGAACACTAATTGTCTGGCTGCCGTGTGCCAAGTGTCAAGTTTGGTGGAGGGGGGATTAGTTTGTTAGTTTGGTGTAGTTTTTTCAGGTGTTTTTCAGGACATGGGCTCAACCCCTAGTTCCAGTGAAAGGAACTCTTACTGCTTCAGAATACCAAGAGATTCTGGACAAGTTAAAACTCTTAACTTCGTGCAAACAGTTTGGGGATGGTCTCATCTTGTTCCAACGTGCACACCAGTGCACAAAAAGCAGGGTCCGTAAAGACATGAATGAGTGCGTCTGTTGTGGGAGAACTTGACTAGCGTGCACACAGTCCTGACCTCAATCAAATCTAATTCAACCTTTGTGTTGAATTACAGTGGAAACTATGATTTAGGTCTTCTTGTTCAACATCACTGTCTGACCTCACAAATGGGCTTCTTGAAGAATCGTCAAAAATTCCTATAAACAAACTCCTAAACCTTTTAGAAAGCCTCCTCTTAAGAGTTGAAGCTGTTTGTAAAGGGTGGGCCGATGTCATATAAAACCCTGTGGATTAAGAATGGGATGTCACTCAAATTCATAATCATGTAAAGGCAGACAAGCAAATACTTTTGGAAATATAGAGTACCTTTTACTTTTTTCCTGTAGTAGGCTAAACTTGTGGCAATGACAAAGTCATTGCTCAGTGGACTGAGACAGAAACAACAAGAGGACATGGATTAGCGTTTATTGTCATTTCACTTTGACAGTTATTGTGAGTCATTGTGAAGCTCTGAATGTTGTCTCATTTCTTTGTTCATGCATGCATAGCTACCCATTCAAACTCCAAAACATCTTAAGGTTTTTTTCCCCTCTTTTTGAAATGTTGTAGAAGTGCACCGTAGCTAGCCTGCAGCACATGTGAATCAGAATTACCAGAGCCAAGTCTCTGAAGTGAAAGAGAACGAGTGACAAGATGTCATTAATTCTTAGCTTCTTACATGGTTCCATCATTCTACAGAAAAGGTAAACAGGGATTTCATTGTTTATATTTTTGCTGTTTCAGCACATGAAATGACCAGATGGCCAGTCTATTCTTAAACTGTGAAAAGTGGAAAAAACCCAGACAGGGAACATGTGGTTTGTCCAACATCCCAGACAGTCTGTTCACAAACCTGATGTATAAACTCCACCCTGGATCACTGCATTTCTACCATGCTGGCCACCGTGGAAGCGAGGAACAAGACTGGATTTCTTCCTGTCTGCCGAGCAGACCTGGTAATCTACCAGACGACCACATGCTCAGCCTGATAATCCATGAGATGACTGCACATGATCCCTCTTTGGAGGGAACAGGCAAAGTCATGTGATATATTTAAAGTAGTACACATACATAAAGGTATGGAACCTTGTTTCTGTCAGAAGTTTGACTTACTAACTCAAACTTCTGACAAAACAACTCAAGACTGAGAAAATAACTTTAAGTCTCAAGTTATTAAGTTGAAATTTTGAGATAGTAACCCAAATGTATTGACTTAGGTATGCTAGGTTTTTTTTTTTCCAGTGGCAGAAACAAGGTCCCATATAAAGCTCTCTTTCATATTTTACAAGACAGCTATCAGACCGGTTTGTGAGTTTTTTTCCAGCCCAGTTCCTTTGTTAGCTCTCCTTCCTCCTTTAGACCCGCAGTATCAGTAATCATAGGCCTCAGTTACAGTGAAAGTGAAACACCATGTTTACAGAAACTGTAACACAAATCTTGATGAAATGTGTAACTATAGTCAGCTGTCTGGTTGAGTGGATAGTGTTACTGTAAAGTCAAGAAGAAGAGCCAACAGTGGAGTGAGGGCTGGTGTGTTCAGGGATATAATCAGCTGAAGTCAGATGTGAAGTCCAACAATAGCAAACAAAGACACAAGCGTATATGTTATGCCCCTAGTCTAGGCGGGTAGGGACGCACATAAGGTTGGAGGAGAGAGAGACAAATCCCCGCCCTGGTTCCCAAGCCAAACATCCAAACCAGTTGTGAGTAAAAAAAGTGATTTTATTTAAGGACAAGAAGCATAGCTCCAGGGTGAGCCCAGGCCAAAATAATAAACAAAAC